TAGTCACATCTGATAAGAATAGTATACTAAATTATTCATATATAAAGTTGTTTATTCACTTCTGAACTCCATCAAATTAATATTGGTCAATCAAGGGTATGTGGTTTTGGGTCTTTCTTTGAACATTTGATCTTTTTCTTCTTCTTTCCCTTCTTAGGATGTGCATTTATATAATTTCCTATTATCTGGATATCTTGTATATTTTAATTTCAGCTAAGTTCACTTCTTGTTTATGTTGTTGTGGCTTTGTGGTCACTTTCTAGGTTAATCCTTTAAGTACCTAGGTCATTTGATGTTCTGTGTGGCACCAAGTATGAAACATATTTTCATATATTTTCGGGTAAACACTGTACATTTTGAAATCACCACAGATCAACTTTTTCTACATCAAAGGTTCTTTATATTCAGATCTCTGCTTTTGCCTGGTGTGAATCATGTAATACATTTATATATGTTGACTGATATCATTTCATTCCTTTCTCCCTTCCAATCTGAATTATGTGCATGTGGCATCTGCATTATTTATATTGCACCCTGCATATATGTGAATTCCGTGTTTGACCACATAGTAACAGAATATGTTTATACCACATTTTAGAATGTTTTCACCCCAAGCAAGTCACTAAGACACAAAGGTTTACTGAGTGTGAAAGAATATGAGAAAAAAGAAAAAGATTATTAAGGAGTGAGAAGAATAAAAGGACAAGAATTAAAAAGGCAAAAGATAATAACTGACATTGCATTTAAATTTTTTAACATAAAAAGTTGACAGAAAAGCAACAAACAGAAAGAGAATTCCTCAAAGGAGAACTGTGCAAGAAGAAAATATTAGCATCATACTTATGGTTACATCTAGCCATTTCAATTGTAAAATGATGAGACCTACCTGCCAATCTAGTACTGTGCTTAAATTCATAAAGCCTATGTACCATAGAGGAAAGTTTATCAGAACAATTACCAGGAAAATATTTAGAGAAAAGTCACAGAGAAGATATATTATGACATTGGGAAAGTGACTGAAGCTAAGATGCCTGGTTATGACTGATAATATTGCAAAAAACATAGAGTTTATAACACATAGGTATAGAATACAAAAACAACCTAAATTTAATAAAAAGTTGTAGGCAAGTAAATGTGATCAGTTTACAAATTTTTTTTGGATTCCATCAGACACAAGTAATATTGTTTATATATTTTATCTATCACTCAAAGAAGTACCTCCTTCTACCATACTTTAAATTATTAAGAGTCAGATTAAGTCAAAAATAGAATATTGCTGCCATATCTGGCCTGGAACTGTTTAATCCTCAATTTCCGGCCTTGATACAGTTTAGAATCATTATTTAAACTATTTATATTCAAAGTATTGTCTTTATCTTTGTTGTTTATAACACGTTTCAGCCATTGTGCCCTCTGGCATTCCTCAGGTGTAAATCAATCAGGTTAACCTACTGGGAATTACAAACTGAACCCTTTATTTTATTTATGGAGGCAGACAGTTCTGATTCCACTGCTAATGTCTAAAGATGTCTCATCTACTAGGCTGTTTGAAAAAAAATGTCCAATTTTAGAATTAACTTTTATTGCTGAATTAATGTATTTGAAGAAACCATGTTTAAATCAGTCAAAATAGGAGCCATAAACACCTATACATTTCTGCAATTGAATCATAAGATTATTTATGAGTTTACAGTAAAACACTGAAGGTTTTTGGTGAAGAAATCCTGGAATGAAGACTTATTCCATTTACCACTGTACAGTTATTGCTCACCCATTTCTACTAAGTGCAAGGGATGAAACTCCCAACCACTATGTCACCAAATTCACAAATTGTTCATTGCTCAATATCACCTATGGCCAGTGACACTTGACCACACGAGTTGACATGTCAATTTTTACAATAGTCCTTACTAATTCAAATAGTCTTTACTAATTCAAATTGCGTGCACTCCTACATCATGTTACCTGCTTAGTGGTGTTCCATAAAACAAGTTCCCATGAAACACAAATCAATGCTTTTACCCACTAGGTCATTGCCCCATCAGACAATTTACTGGATTAAACTTAGAGCTTTAAGCCTAACCTTAACTGCTGATTTGGCTGCCACTGAATAAATAAAATAATAACTAGTGGATTTCCCTAGACATGAGCAGCGGAATGACAACAGTCTACACCTGTATATTAAATAAAGGGTTCAGTTCAGAATTCCCTGTAGGTTGCCCACATTGATATATGCATCTATGGAACCTATTCTCCACTTTACAATGTCTTTTCCCACAGATGCAACATTGCAATCCCATCATGATTCTATCATTATTTCCATGACTAATGTTTAGATAAAATCCATTCTTCAGTACCACTAGTTCAAAACTTTAAAGCTATGACATGCCACAGAGTCCAATCACTCTCACCCGTATTACCAATGTATGGTGGAAGTTCCACTCAGCCTTTTTCCCAAGAACTGACACTTTAAAGAACAGACTCCCACGTGGATGTTTCCCTGAACACTAGAATCTGAACCTCAATTGTTCAAGTCAAGGGTCAGTCATTATCTATCCTTCTCCTGATAATCTTCAATTCCTGCCACTTTATCTTTCATTCTGTTGTGGAGTAGCTGAACACCACCACCAGATAGACTTGTCTAAGACTATTTAAACAGCACTTTCTCTTACTGAGGGAGAGGAGTTAATGATTAACTGTTTATCACATTAGTCTGTATTCTCAACTGTGTATCATATTCTATGGAATAAGCTAATTCTTATTTTCTTCTATGTGTGTCAACCTTTCCTATTTACAACACAACGTATTCATATCACACTCAATTCATCATTAACATTTTTATACTCACTACCTTGAATGGCTCTCTTGGATAGAATTTAACATTAAAAAAATTTAACAGTTTTCTTTTTTGAATTCTGTTGAAGAAACAAACTCATTTATTGACCAAAAGAGTCTTTAACACAAACAAACATTGATTAATATTTGTCAGCAGGTAGAAACCAGAAGCAGAATTTGGGTTTAAACGATAATTGGCAGAATTTTTTTTTTTTTTATCTTTCTTTTTAAATATATTTTTTTTTCTTTTTTGAACTGACCTTCTCATGTTTCACTCAATTAATCTTTTGGAGTAACTTGAGCATTGATTTCAAATCTTTGTAGAGTTGATTTCGGAGAGGAAAAAAGCAATAGAAATCTTTCAAATAAAAACAAAATTAAAAATGAAAATGAAATCAAAAGAAAAGAAGGAAATAAAAAATAAGGTATAAACATATATCTTGTGTCAGAATCTATGTTGCTTCTTGTTTGATGTTACCCTTCCTTCTACTACAATAACTTGGAGATTTTTCTCCCTAAATCTGAAGGGAACCATGTTTAGCTTTAAATTTAAGACAAGAATAAACTCAACTGATTTATGAAAACTTCATTTGTTTTTACAAAGAAAAAGTATTATGGTGAGTGGATACTCTAATGCTTATTGGCCTGGAAAATGGAATCAGTGAACTGAGTTCAAATTCCAGCATTGACCCAATAGTTACAGATAATATCAATTGAAATATATACAGGTACACAATCCTAAAATCCTTGATTCCTGTTATGTTTCAGTTTTCTGATTTTTTCAGTTTTCAGAAATACAAACATTATTGCAGCAAAAATGTATGAATACTCACACCACAAGGGATAAAAAAAGACTACAAATATTATAGTTTATTTATAGAGTAATATACAGATAAATAAAATATAGGGATAATTAAGACCATAAGTAATTGTTGTAGCATACCTATGGATGATAATGGATATGTCCCCATTCACATAAATACAGTAGTAAATACTGTATATTGGTCTGCAGTTGGAGATTCATTGTGAAATTCACTTGACTCACTTCTAACAGTTGACTACTCTTCTATGCACTGCTGGTGAATCTTATATGTGTTGTTCTTGTCCTAAGTATTATCATTCATTATCAACCTTTGATTCTTCTATTCAGTAACCTACCCTAGGTTTCAACAGTAATGAATAAATTTTTATTTATTTCAGATAAAAAATGCCTTGTATAAGTTAAAAATGAACAGCATTAAACAATAAACAAAAAATATATGTACCACACCTGTCGCTCAATACTGTCATTTATTTGACAGTAGTATAAGATAGTTTCCAAAGAGTTGGGTAAAGCAAAACTGCAGACAGTAGGTATTGCAGTTTATTTTGCCATTTGTAGTGTTTTCCTATTTTTTATTAGTTTATAGTCATCACTTTCACTACAAAATTTAAGTAATTTGTCTTTCTGTTTCTTTAAATTGTACACAGTGGTTGTTCTGACACCATATCTATCAGTCAGATGACACACAGGAACACCGTGATCCAGCTTCTGTAAAACTCTACTTTATGTGTCATTAATAACAAGAGATGCTTCCTTTACTTTTTTTTCACTGTTCCCCATAAGGGTATGAGTTAAAAAAATTATGAAAAGAAAAAAAATTAGCAAACACCACACTCACGTCTACCCAATACAAGAACTTGGCAAAAACTGACATTTGGTAAGCTCAGGTCACTCAGCCAGGCTCGGGGAGTGGTGCACAGAGTTGACCTGATCATGACACCTGTTGTCATGTCATACCTAAGTGGCATGGGTCATGTAGGTAAGCTCTGTGTGCACCAAACTCCATACTAAAAAATATTCAGTTTTTAGAGGTTTTTGGTTTTCAGATGTTCAGATATCAGATTTTCAACCCGTATGTTCCTCTTAAAACAGTTTTTTCTGGAAAATAAGCTTCTTATATTCACTTCTATTGTTTTTTCTAATATAGATGGGTGTTTCCTTGCTAACCTTTTGTTTAAGTTTGTGAGGAAAGTCAACACTTTAATTATTTTCCCTTCTAGCTACATGTTAGTTTTTGATATTGCTGGAAGTTTTCAAATGATATGGTTTTTGCTGTTTAGTAATGTACTTTGTGATTTGATAGTCTATAACATTAGATGAAAGATTGTCTTCTCTCAGGACTTACAGCCATATCATGTTGAAACACTGGTTCCTTTATAATCACTGAAGTTAAGCAACATTGAGCCAGGCCAGTACCTAGAAGGGCAACTGCTTGGGAATACCAGGTACTGTAAGCTTGGTTGCATTGGTGGTGTAATAGATAATGGCTTGGAATTGGAAATTAATGATCTGAGTTCCAATTCAGGTCAGGTTTGTTATATTCACTTACACACAAATACTCTTGGGAAAGTTATAAATCTACCTCTTCTTCCCCCAGCTATGGGTTAATTAATAATACTTGCATGACTAAATTATTATCTCCAAAAAAGAAAGCTTCTTACGATCTAAAAATATTTTCTGGCTTTAAATAACCTGAAAAGTGTTGATAAGCCATAGAAAGTGAATCAGTCAGTTACAGATTAACTACACAGGCATGTCTTTTAGAATTATTTGTATTCTCTGAAATCTAAAAATATTTTCTGACTTTAAATAATCTGCAAAGGGTTGATAAGCTGTAGAGAATAAGAGTCTTCTTTGCGATATTAAAGCCATTTTTGGTGGAATTGTGCAGGAGGTAATGTGACAGAAATAATCACATTTCCTTTTCCTCTCACTATAGATTAAGAATGTCAGATTATAAATATTGAAAGAAAAAAAATTTTATTAAATTATATAAATGTTAATAGGGGTGAGGTCAGTTTGCTTTGTAAATTCATTGTAAATTGATTCCCCTATGGAAACAAAAACTAATTATGCTCATATGATGTGTTTTCTTAAAATACAAGGTGTGGCAGAAATACTTCCCACATATTGGTAAGACATTAGCTCCAAGTAAACACCATTGCTAATATATTGTCATTATGTGTGATATATATATATATATATATATATATATATATATATATATATAATGCATGCGCTTTCAGTAATTCCTGATGGTGGGCAGCTTGTGACCATTTTAGTAGTAAATCTGTAATAAAGTAAAATGTTTTGTATTTTATGCATAATAATCAGAGTAACATTCATAATTTTGGGGGATTAGGTGTATATTGTGCCAGAGAAGGAAAATGTAACTGCTGATCTATTTTATTCAGGGTAGGCACTGCCTAACTTGCCTACCTAGACAGCACATCCCTGACACACACACACACACACATACACATATTGTTGAAACTTGAATAAAGCATGGAATAATAATAATACAACACAAAATGTACTTAAACCAATTGTATTGACACAAGAACGTGTACACAATATTTACAGATAGTTTGGTATATTCTTGGGAAGACCGTTCCTGTAGAATGGGTTAACTTAGTCGCCCCGTCTTCCCGGTACCAACCATATTTATATGGTCGGTACTCCACTATGTAAATTAGGTGGATCATACCACAACACACACATATATATATATATATATATATAATAAAAAGGCTTAAACACTAATATATATATTTTGCATATGTATGTGTATTTTCCACTAATATTATCTATATAGATATTTTATATATATATATATATATATATATATATATATATTGCATGAATCATTCATACCAAAAACAGATATAGAAGTTAATGGTTTTTGTATGAATGATTCATGTAATGTAAATTGAACTGCACCACATACTATATATATATATATATATATATATATATATATATATATATATATATAGAGATTGGAGGTATTTCTACCAAACCCTGTATAAAAAATAAATTTGTGTTAGGAGAATACTAATTTGAGAGCTCAATCAATAGTAATATAGTAAAAAAGAGCCAGAGAATACTAATTTCAAAATTAGATTTACATGATGATCATATTTGTTTTGGATTCTATAGGGGGGGGGGATCAATTCACAATGAATTTATATAACAAACTGAACCTAAAATTAAGTAAAATTTAATGAAAAAAAAGTTTTTTTTTATATTCTAGAACTGAAGTGATTAATATATAAAAAAAAATTACTATAGTTGGTTGTCATACCATTGTATATCACCAATCTATTTGTAATCATTGATCTGAGAAAATGGTCATATATAGGTGATTTTCAACTTGTGTACACACGTATGTACCATGAAAATCCTTTCATGGTACATACGTGTGTACACAAGTACACATTGGTGTGCTGTGAAGATTAATTAGATTATTTTTGAGAGAAGTCCAAAGTTCAGCACGTGTACATATCAAAATTAAAATCCCTTTAAATTGATCATATGAGTATACCATTGTTAAAATAAGCATATACATAATATATAAAGTTGGTGGGGTTCACAAAACATCCAGAGATGATGCAATTTGACTGATGAACAGTGATATATATCGAAATCATTCAAAGTTGATTTTTGCAATGACTCATCAATACCTCATTGTGAATGCCTTGAATTGTACCTGGGTGGAAAGAATTAGCATGTCCTCATATTGAGGACATGTTGTTCATGCTGAACATGTCTTTTAGCTTTATTACATAGGACTCAATTAAAATATATAAGTTTTTAATTAAGAAACAAAATTAGAAGACAACACACGTGATTATCATAATTTATGTGTGGTGTGGAATTTTAACAATAGGTTCAAGTGTGCAGTGAGATAAAAAAAGATTAAAAACATAGGTTTAGACATATCTGAATAGAAAGGCATCCATTGCTTCTTTCCACCCTAGCTAAGAGCAGTGTAGACTGGGTTCTTGTGTGCCAATCATTTTTGGAGGAGTTTTTTAAATACTAAACTGTAGAGAAACCACTCCAGCATCCTTCCCAAGAAGGACATGCTAATTCTTTCCACCCTAATTAATAGTATTTTAGACTGGATTCTGGTGTGGCAGTCAGTTTCACAGGAGAACACTGAGTTGAGGAGAATGCAATGGGAAACCACTTGACCATCCTTCCCCAAAAAGACATGGTAATTTACAGATAATAAAGAATAGGAATCAATGGAGAACTATGATTGCCTATGTCTTAAATAGACACAGCACAATAAAAATAGTGTTCATTCAGTTTATTTATTTATTTCTTTATATCTCTATAAAGAAAACAATTAGAATATATCATTCCTGTTTTGTTCCCAATCATGAAAATGTTAGCCTGGCTCTCAAAAATCTGGATCTTGAAAATAGCTAGATATATAGCCAAGAGCTCTTAATTAGAAACTCATGAACATTTCTTTCTTAACACTATCTGCTACCCTTTATGCACTTAGAATTAACAAAAGCAATAAGCCAATTTGAAAAGCATTCCTTGTGTGTATCTTTTAATCATCCTTGTATACATGAAAAATCACTACAGAAATATACATTTTATATATATAAAATATAAAAGTGGACACTGAGGTTAACAGCATGCAGCAACAGTCTGTTTCATTCTTGAATGCAATTTCAGGCCATGTGTTTTGTGTGATGGTTTGGTTTCGTTTATTTTGTTTTACAGCATATCAAGCTCAATGGGTTATTTTATGCCAACAATATTTTGAGGATAGATTCGTATGAATAGAATATGTATTCTTTGGTTTAGATTGGTTTGGTTTATTTTGTTTTACAGCATATCAACCTCAATGGGTTATTTTATGCTGACAACATTTTTTATTGCTGGTGATATTTTGTTTTGTCAAAAATCTGTTTCTGGTAATATTTTTCCTTCAAAATTGTATTGCTGGTAATAATTTTTTTCAAAAAAGTATTGCTGGTAATAGTTAACTATTTGTCCATAGCTGGGACCCTAACAGGTGCTACCACCCTGGGTCAGCAATTAAGAGGTGGTGCCACACTCCTCAAAACCTCCTGATCAGAGGCCTTGCTGCTGGATGTAGTTTATCATCTTACTCAGGACACAGATGTAGTTTAATGTCTTACCCAGAATGAGAGTTGTATGATGGCTCAGCTATATAATCAATAGTGCACTTTGAGTAGATATGGGTTTTTTTCTCTACTAGCTCAATTACCGCCTTGTGCCATTATTTACTTTTGCAATGATTGGTTATATTATTTATGGTGCTGGTTTTAATTTCATAGTCAAGAATTATGAGATTAGCACACTCTCAATATGTTTTCTTCTTAGTAAATCCATTTCTCTCTTGATCAAACTGATCATTTATTAAATCAAAATGGTGGTCAGATGTATTACAGTGGAAAGTGTTGTTAAGCAGCATATCTCTGCAATGCTTATCTTTTTGGGGGGTTTCTGGATGCTTTTGAATACTATTGAGATGGTATGTGTTGTAGCATACCTATGAACAACAATGGGTATGTCTCCATTCACATAAATACAGTAGTAAATACTTTATATTGGTCTGCAGTTGAATATTCATCTCCAGCTGTGCTGGTCAGATATCTCTGCCTGGAGGCAGAGAGGATCCTCAAATGAGGCTATGTGGAAGGGCAGAGTCTTGTCTCAGGAAACAGCTACCCAACCCAGTTTTATACGGGGTCTACAGGGAATTTTGGGCCAAGACTACAGGCTTGGATACCCCACATTAAATTCGGCCTTGTGCCACATCTGACCACGTGGGGTAGCTTGGTAGATATCCCGCAGTTGGAGATTCATTGTGGAATTCATTTGACTCACTTCTAGCAATTGACTACTACTTCTACGTGCTGCTGGCAAATCTTATACGTGTTGTTCTTGTCCTCAGTATTATCTTTCATTACCAACCTTTGTGTGATTATTCTATTCAGTACCCTTCCCTAGGTTACAACAATATGGCTCTTCACTGGGCTTGAGAGAACCTTACACAATATCACATGATTTTTGGCATGTCAATGTGAAATTTTCACATATTTGTCCCTAGTCTGAGTTCATGAAGATTATATTTACTTTTAAGGGAGGTTGATTGTAAAATTGAATTTATTTACACAAATCATACTGTTCTTAAGATATTCCAATCAACAGTAAACACTTTTGAACTCTGTCAAGACTGGAGAGTGAGGATTGTGTATCTCCAGCCTAAATATGACAGCTATACTCTATTTGCTTACTATTATTCTGATAAAATGTCTATAAAAACTCAACTACTAATTTGAATTATTAACCCTGAGTGCTCTCACATTTTCATCTTGGTGTTGCCATGTTTGTAATTTTTTAAAGTTTAGTATTACTAAATTTTAACTTGTGTCTTTTTGGGGGTTACATTTTAAAATAAGAAG